GGCCTCGGCATCCCGCGGGGAAGAGCCCGCTGCGGGGTGGTGCGTGGTACCAGGCCCTCCCTTCCCGGCCTGGCCTTGGGGGTTTTGTGTTTAGTCCGGTTTGGGTTGTGGGAAACCGGCGAGGCTGCGGGGGAAAGTGCGGTGCGTGAGGGAGGAAACACCCCGGGGAGAGGCTGAGAGGGGAGAGAGGGGGCTCCCTGGAACTCGCCGTCTCCCATCCTCAGGCCAAGCTGCCCTGCTTAAGCGCAAACACAGCGAGGCCTTTTTCACTCCAAGCCATGAATTAAGAACTTTGAATTCCATAAATTCAAGCCATGAAATAGGAACTTTGAATTCCATAAATTCAAGCCATGAAATAGGAACTTTGAATTCCATAAATTCAAGCCATGAAATAGGAACTTTGAATTCCATAAATTCAAGCCATGAAATAGGAACTTTGAATTCCATAATTAAAAGCCATGAAATAGGAACTTTGAATTCCATAAATTCAAGCCATGAATTAGGAACTTTGATTTCCATAAATTCAGGCCATGAAATAGGAACTTTGAATTCCATAAATTCAAGCCATGAAATAGGAACTTTGAATTCCATAAATTCAAGCCATGAAATAGGAACTTTGAATTCCATAAATTCAAGCCATGAAATAGGAACACAGCGCTGTTTTCCACATCAGGCTTCCTTGTTAAACCTGAACACAACGGGAATTTTCTTCACCAACACGAGGAATTCACAGCTCCCAGCCTGCAGGAGAAAGCTGTATTTACTGCGAGCGACGTTAAGAGCAGGGCAGCAGAGCTCGGGTGCTCAGGAGCACAAGGCCTCTGTGCTCTAAAAGTCACTCGCAGTATTTTAAAAATCTTCCCCAAAAGCAGTTTGGCCAGGGCTCGAGGTCCTGACAGCAGGTCACTGATCATACGTCATGTCCATCACCTTTTCCTGTGAATCAGGTACCATTGGGTACTCTCACCTACTAGCTGTTACCAGCCACAGGTAGTATGAAGGAAAATTTTAAGAGAAGAAAAAGCCACGACAGTTTGAATTTAACACCTGCTCCATTGTTGCAAGAGAAAGGCTTTTCCCTTTTGGCTTTTTTTTTCTGCCCACCAAGAATGGTGCTGTGAAGCACCAGAGGTAGGAGGCTCTTGCCTACACCCAATACACAGCTACAGTGGAGTCCATTTCCTATCCTAAGATTAAGTTATTAAATTATAAACACTTCAGTAGTTTGCCAGTATTTAAAAAATGGGTTTCAATAGAAATTAACCCAAAGTCTCATTAAAAAGTTCAATTTTTCTGGACTTGTAAAGTGGTAGTATCCTATAACTGGATGAAAATGAGCTCAGATGCTGGGTCTTCCACTCAGAGCCCGTGTGAATGCATCCACACAGAATCACTCCCTCCACGACAGGCAGCTCACAGTCATCAGCAGTTTCTTTCTACATTTGGTCTCTGTTATGTATCTGCTACTGGTTATGTATTTTAGTATTAAAAGCAGGTGCCTGTTACAGAAGATGCACTCTAGAAACAAACCAGAGCACAAAAGGCACAAAAATGCCGCTCTAGCTCATAAAGACTTATGAAATCTATATTCCCTTCAGGTTAAAAAAATAAAATCTATTATTTACTGTATTCTTAAATAACATCCTTATCAAGGTAGCACACAGAGACATTTTCCAAGTCAACCTGTAACCATATTTCATGAGGCCACAGTCTGAAAGTTACACTGGTGACTTTCCTCCAGCATCAAAAGCAGTTTGTGCACGTTGGGCTCAATGCCCTTTTCCTCCTCTAATCCTCTCCTTTAGAATGCATTAAGTTGGAATATTATGCTCTTTTATAGATGTAATAATCTTTCTGCTTATATTGTTCTATACCTTTCAGAAGCTTTTACATAAAAATTTAGGAAACACTCTTTGGAAAGTTAATTTAGCTTAGTACAAACATAAATAAAAGCTTAATATAGTAAGTGGCTTCATGTTAATCATAAGTTTGAAAAAAGGCAGAGAACTGTTTATTTTTCTCTTTCTTGCAATACATGATAATAAGTCAGTAGCATTTTTAGTCTCTAAATTGAGTTGAATTGTTATGTTCTTCTCGGCTTAGCTTTTACTGTCAGCTGCAGTGTACAACACAGGAACCTGGCTGCAAAATCCAAGTCCAAGTAATTATAAACGATATAAAGCTGTGGTTTAAAAAAAAGTAAGTCAGTCCTTAGTGTCTGTCTGTATGCTGTTGATTTTTTTGCCACTATATCTGCCAGAGGATGCATTTACTTTTCCTAAATTGTGAACAGACTCTGCACACTGATCTGTGATAAAGGAGTGTTTCCCAGAAGATGAAAACCACACATCTATTTCATAACAATGTAAAGTCAGGAATTCACAAATGGCGTGGATTGAGTTTATCTTAAGTTCAAAGCTGACCCGAATTAATTGTTTTTCCTTTTCTTTAGATTTTTTGGCGTTAAATCTACAAATTACAAACTTCCTAATAAAGAAAACCCCTTCAGAATAAATTAGGGGATGTTTTACAAGTGAAGAGAAAAATCGTAAGCAACAGATTTTTATATGCTTTTTAGAATGCCTACAATTAAACATCAATTGGTAGCGATGTCCTGCAAGACATCTCCTTTCGTTAAACAACGAGGAAATGAAACCTGTTTACCATCAGTCTCTTGTGGTTTCCTGAGAAGTAGCAATATTTAGAACATAATATACACGTACAGACTGAAGAAATGGACAACAGTTCTCTGTAGATGTTTATTCTACTTACAGTAACAAAAACCTGTGAAGTCCCATATTTTAATGTAGAGTGATATATTTTGCCATATAAAATACAATTTACAGAAATTTCTATCAAGTAAACCTAAACAAACACACTTACTTTTTGCATACTTTTATGTATGTCTTTAAATTAGAAACATCTCATTAAGAAAAAAAAAAAAATCTTACACCATAGTAGATGTTTTTTGCATTTAATACCATCTCTCTGCATTTTAACATTTTGTCTACAGATTTGGAATACTGCAAATCCTCGATGTATAAAGACTTCAAAGATGCACTGATATGAACTGTAAAATCTGTAGTGAGATACATGACATACATGCTACTTGTTAATGTAGTCTTCAAGATGCAAATGTGTATAGGAATTTAATTTTACATTTCCAAAACTATTTTATAAAAAATATCAAAATATTTACCCAACTGTTAATCTACACGGTCAAATAAATTAGTGGGGTTTTATTTTATACTTTAGAATTACTTACTTGAAGAATACCTGGAAAAGTAGCAATGTAATGTTATTTCCTAGTGAAAAACTTCCCTCTTGAATCACAAAATGAAGTACCACCACTCTTCTTTTCGAGCCTAATGCAGTTATACCTTCTTCTTTTTTTTGTGGAGTTTTTTATATATACTACCAGCCTAAGTAGGGTCTAACAAAAAAAAAAAAAAGATACTTTTTTTTTTTTTTCCAGAAGTAAAACACTTTTAGAATGAAAGTACACTAAAATGGGAACATTTCTAAAGTTTATGGCAAAATTCTGCAACAAAACAAAACAAAACCAAAACAAATCAATGCTTCGCTAAATCAGACCAACTGAAGTTACAGATCTAGTGGCCTATTTAACCAACTTCTTCTTCTTTCCTTTGGTGTCCCAATTCATTTGTAGTCTTGGCCTTTTCCAAATAAATGTCTAATGTTTTTATAAGTTTTGCTGGTTATAAGGGTGCTACTTTTATATGTTCCTTAATTACAGATTTGTAAAAATATGACATTTAAAACCCCTCAGCCTCATGAAAAAAAAAAAATGAAGTACGACTTGTTTCTTTGCTGTACATTTAACAGATGGATTCCAAAACACAAAATACCTGTATATAAAAAGGGAGATAGTGCACTTTAAGCTTATAGCATTCCATTTTCAAATCCTCCGTCATTCACAAGGAATTATTAACACTGTTCTTCTGCAGCCTTTTCCTAAATACACACGACCCTTCCGTTGCAAAATAAACAAGACAGCAACATTGGACTCCTTTTTTGAAAGTGTGTGCTGTAGAAACAACTTTGACACCAAAATATCACGTAAATGAGATGTAAAGGTATGGCTCCTAAAGTCTGGATTAAATTCTCTTATAAAATTACAATTCAAGTTACTGGAAAACATAACTTTATAATCTTAAAAAGCAATATGCTCTTCTTAGACATTTTCCATTTCTGTACTGTAAATGGAAATTTTAAGATAAAGATGCAAGTAGAAAAAAACCCAAAATTTCAGTACAGGTAATGCTGTGAATTTTTATAAGAAAAAACATTATGCACAAAATGCGGCAAGTGAAAGTTCTAGTCCGTTCTTGCCTTTTACCTATTTGAGGATTTTCATTCACAGTTGTTAAAAAATGGCTAATTTGTCAGTACATTTTGTAAGGCTAGTTTTACAACAGCATTTTTGCAAAGGTAAGAATATACAGTATATACAGAAGATGTTGACTCAGTCCTCTCTGAGTTGTAAAAGTCTGTTATTTATTGGAAATACGGGATCAGTCCCATTTCTATGACTGATTAGTGGAAGATGAAGCCTCTGTTTCTGTTGGTTTCTGAGTTTCCTTCGATGTTTCTGGCTTCATCTCCTTACCAGTCTCCCTGCTCTTACTCCGATCTTTGCGATCTTTTCCTCTTTCTCTATCACGATCTCGATCTCTCTCTCGATCTCTTTCTTTTTCCCTGCTTCGGTCCCGGTCCCTGTCTTTGTCTCTGTCACGATCTCTGTCTCTGCTTCTTGATCGCTCTCTATCACGTCTTCTGTAGGATTCTCTGTCTCTGTTTCTTGCTCTGTCTCTGTCTCTGCTTCTTTCCCATTCTTTACCCCTCTCTGAATCCTTCTCTCTGTCTTTGTTTTGGTTTCTGTCTCTATTTTTATCCCATTCCTTGTCTCTGTGTCTCTCCCAGTCCCTGTCTCTATTCCAGTTTCTGCCACGGTCTCTTTCCCAAGGTCTCCCATGTTCTCGATCCCTTCGTCTTTCCTCAAAGGGTCTACCTTGTCGATTATCTGCTTGCTGAGGCTCTGGCTGATCTAAAACCTTGTCTTTATTTCCTCCCTCATATCTCTGTCTCCCTTCAAATGTCTGGCCTCTAAATTCAGAATTTTTGCCTTCTCGGAATTCAGGTGCTGACCACTGTCCTTCTGACTCAGATCCTTGTCCAGAAATATTAGAAAGAGATGCAGATGGTCCAGCTTCCTCCCACATCTCTTTTCTGTGGGATGGCGGATGGCTTGGAAGGTCCAGGAGCGGTCTTGGGGTTGACTTCATACCTTGTGGTGACTGACCTTGAAAATGAAATCTAGAAGAGGGAGGTTCATTTTCTTCTGGAAACAGTGCAGGTGTGGCTCCTCTTGGTCCTCCAAATGGAATCGGTGCTGGACCTCTCTGGTTGGCAAATCTGGGTGGTGAACTCCCTCTCCGTTCTTCAAATGGCTGTGGCAAAAGTCCTCTTGGACCAGGTATATGGTTTGGAGCTGGACCTCTCTGCCCTTCAAATTGATTTGGGTGAGGCCCTCTTGGTCCCCCAAAATGACTCGGGGCTGGACCTCTTGGCCCTCCAAACTGAGGGCCTCCTCTTTGTCCTTTAAACTGAGCTGGTGGGGGTCGTCTTTGACCTCCAAAAGGAAAAGGCGAAGGTCCTCTGTTTCCCATGAACTGAGGTGCATCTGGTCCTTCAAACTGTCCTGGAGGCCTAATCATTTCATTATATTGGGAATCGGAGAATTCCCTTTGTTCCATGTGAGGTTCCCTGTGATCTTCAAACTGAGATGGCGACATTCCTCTTGGAACACCATGATAAGGAGCAGGGCCCCTGTTATCAACAAAAATAGACGGTGGCCCATGTGGAGAAAATAAGGAAGGAATGGGACCCTTTTGACCACCAAATCTTCCAGATGGAGGTCCTCTTTGCCCGTCATTATTTGGAGAATCATGCTCCTCAGAGAACTGTGGTGCTGGTCCTCTAAAATTAGGTCCATGAGGTCCTCCAGGTGCATTGAGCATCAGTGACTGTGGAGGCCCTGCTTTCTGCCCAGACAAAGAAAATGGAGGTCCAGCTCGGTTTTCTTCAAAGTGCTGTGGGGAAGGTCCACCCTCACTCTGAACTGATGGAGATTCAGTTTGTTCTACAAATTGATGAGACTGAGGATTTCTTTGTTCGTCGTATTGCACTGATGAAAGACCCCTCTCTGGTTCAAAGTGACCAGCTGGGTTTTCCTGAGAAGTAAACATAGTATTTGAAAAAGAATCTCTTCCCATTACTTCACTTGACTCACTTGACCATGGTACTTTATGCATATCTTGCAAAGTCTGACTGTCGTTTGATGTGGGGAAATTAGGCTGAAAAGATGTAGTTGGAGGTGTTGGAAGCAGGACTTTACGTAAAGGTTTGGATGTAGAAGGTTCTCCAGAAACTGTTTGACTCATGTTTTCCAAATTAACTTGAGTGGTGCTTTCAAACTGGCTATTAGATGCCTCCTTCTGGGACACGGTAGAAGCGTTTTCACTTGAAACCCAGTTTTCAGCAGTAAAACCAGGCTGAGCAGCAGAAATGAGAGTTTTATCTTCCTTACCAACTGAAGTCTGCAAAGCATTTGGAAAAGTTGCTGGAGTGATTTCTCTTGTGGATATCTCATTCTGGACCACCTGTGGCTTTATTCGAGTATCAACATTGTCATTAGTCTCTGTCACCATTCTTCTAGCTTGTCGAGGATCTCTATTCTGCCTCGGGTCACAGCCCGGGTTTAAAGCTTGTCCTTGCTGATTTAAAGATGAAGTTAAATCTACTTTTTGTGTAGCTTGCTGGTCCTGATGGAATAATTCAGTCTTCATTAGGGAAGATTTTGGTGGTGGTGACATTAAAGCATCAGACACTGAAAAATGAGCCATTGAAACACCAACAGCTGCTCTTTGTTGTCTGAGGGCTTCTTCTTGTTCCTCGAGTTGTCTTTTCTGTTCTTCTATTTGTTTGTTTAATTCTTCCAACATTTTTTGCTGTTCTACCAAGGATGAGGCTGCAGATAAATCAGGCACGTACGAAGCAGGTGTTTCTGAAGAGCTGCTTTTAGTGTCTGTATACATTTTGTTAGGTAAATCATCGACAGTAACTTTTGCTTCTTCCAAGATAGTTTCATCTTCTGGATCATAGGCCTCATCCTCTAGTTCTGCTGTATTAGATGGCTTTTCCACATTATATCGTTTTTCAGTATCACCAGTCTGCATTTCAAAAGCTTTCTCTGGACCATATTCTTCTTCAGGATCATATGGTCTGTCATCCTCCTCCTCTTCTATAGCTCTGTCTTTTGACATCTGTCCAAACTGTTGCACAATGGGATCCAACAAAGGAACAGCTGACACTCCTCCATCAGCAGCAGCTTGTCCTTCGTGATGTGAGGACTGGACAGGTTCAGAATCCTTAGCAAGAGGCTCAAAAGTTTTCTTTTTTCCAAAAAGTGTCTGCAGGATGTGCTCCAGAGGTGTGGCAGTTTTGGAGGATGAAGAAGGTGTAGCGGTTACACTTGCAGAAGCAGCAGTTGAAACTGGTGGTGTTACAGTAGTTGTAGTTCCACTTTTAATTGAGGACAGTATTTTTAAAACTGAAGGTGTAACCGCTGAGGTGTCTGGAATGGGAACTGGGGGTGGAGGTGGAGGTGGAGGAGGAGGAGGAGATCCTGGTGGAGTTGTACTCACAGCTGAATCTCCTGAATAAAATGTGTATTTTGGAGTTTTCTTCTCTTGCAAAGCAGCGAGTGGCCCTTTAGAGAACAGGGATGTTTCAGTTTCCTCATGCGCTTGAATTCTGCTTCGCTTTTCCTCTATCTTTTCTGTTTCAATGCCAGTGGCAGGACGTTTCCCTTTCTGACAGATGACCAAGCCAAGAATTAAATTTGGCCGAGATGACTCAAGTCCTGAAAGGGAACACAAAGAATGTATATGTAAAAAACTGATTTTTAATTATGCTTTCAGTAGAAAACTTATTATTTTATATAGTGGCAGCTACAAAAGCCATAAGGTTAGCACTTTTTCTAAATTCCATTAGAGTATCTATTGGCAATTTTCATTAGTCCATAAGTAGATGCATCTATATTTCTTTACTTTTTCTATATAATTCTATATAATAAATAAAGAAATGTTTTAACTCCTTCCTTGATGTTTTTAATAGAGTGCAGCAACAGGTATGATTATTAAAAAGTGTCTCTGCAAATGTTCAAAACCAAAGAAAGTTTCATTTTTTTTTACTGTTACATCATTTCTGTTGTTGTTCATCCACTTCTACCTCTCCCAAAAATCATCTATTTACTTTTAAATAGTTTGCAAATACGTTATATACACAGAGATATTGAAAAGTGAGAAAACCTGGGCTAAACTTCATAACTCTATTTCTGTTCTAATCTGTGCTAAAAGACTCATATCGACATTTACACCAGTCTCTAAATATTCTGTCTATCTCCAAGTTAAACAAATACCAGTAATTGCTAAAAAGATAACCTCAAACCAACTGTGGAAACAGTATTAGAGCTTGTAACCCACTCCCTCTTTGGTTTTTTCCAGCTAGACATTATTTTAAAACCTGATAGAAGTAGGGAAACTGGTAAAGAAGATTTAGGAAAATGGTAAAGAAGAGTTTAAGCAGACACAAATTTAGCATGTGGGAGAAAGGGACACTGGGTGTGTTTGCTTTCTCTGCAAGGAAATGGTTGGGTATGAACCTGGTGTGCAGAGGGGAAGGTGACTTTAAACCCTCTGCTGCAGGATTCAGTTTGATGCTTTATCTTTAAGTAAAAAAAAAAAAAAAACAACAAAAAACCATTGTGAACAGAACAACTCCTTTGTGAAAGCTTCAGACCCCTCTGCTGCAGGATTCAGTTTGATGCTTTAGGCTTTTCTTTAAGTAAAAAAAACCAAAACAACAAAAACCATTGTGAACAGAATAACTCCTTTGTGAAAGCTTCAGATTTGAACCCTTGGAGAAGCATATCTAAAAATGATGGGAAGGCTTCTGCTAAAGAGGAAAAATGCAAAGGTCTGTAGGTCTGTTTCATGTTACTGTATTTCTTCTTTTTCATGCACAGTTCCCACAGGCACTTGTGGAAGATAAACATGACCAGAATGAAGGGCAGGGAATAAATCCTTTAACATACATTTGGTGGCAAATGTAGAGAAACTGTGTAAAGAGAGGCTTTTAATTCCTGGATTTAAGGACTTTTAAAAGGTCCTAATTTGAAGATTGCTGTCTTTCTGCCATATGAGCCCTTAGTTATTATTTGCATCCAGCTAGGAAGCAGTAATATAGAAACACAAAACAAACTGTAAAGTATCAGATAATATTCACTGTGGTAAATGGTAAGGCAAGGGCTCCGACCTACATTGCTCCTTCTATTCATGACCCTCTAAGTAAGAGGTGTATATATATATTTTTTTTCCCTTGTTCTTATTAAACCAAGCCAACTGCTCATTAAGGACCAATTTTTAAATATCTAATTATTAGCACTGAAAACTTTCTAATACCAACAAACAACCCCAAACCCCACAGTTGCAGATCTATTCCATCAGCAAACCACATTCACAGATACATTACTTCGCTGAAACAACTGAATTTGAAGATTTAAGGGAACTAATGAGAAAATTACAGCAGCTGTTTTCCTAAATTTATGTTCATGTTTAATAAATTTCACCTTTTCTAAGTTTTTTGGTGGCTAACTTCACACTGAGAAATCAGTAAAAGAGTTTAATATATTTTTAGGTTAAATTTGAAGTTTTTCACTGAGAAGATACCAGCTTAAGCTAAATTCACTTAGAACCTGCTTAAGTACAAGGTGAAAACTTGGCTGAACTGATGCCAAGGGAAAGCCCAAGCAATACAACCAATTAAGTCAAGATTTCTTCATCGATTAAAGCTTATGCTGCAGGAATTATTTGCAGTTTGCTAAATAACAAACCAAAACCAGAGCTGCTTTAAGTTTTAAACTTACTATTTCTCTTCAATACTTCAATTCATTAAGCAAAACCTTTTGTTCACAGAATATCCCCCTAAATTACCAATGCTTCCACTTCTTACACTCAAATCTTATCTCATATAAACCTTATTTTCCAAAAAATGAACTACAGGTAATACAGTAATATAGATAAAGACAGTCATTTTTCAAATAAAATAACTTGAAAATTTTAAGAGAACTGTTCGTAATTGAGGGAAAAAACCCTCCTCTAAAATCCTGTGTTCTTCTGATTGTAACTGGTAACAGTACAGTGAAACTGTTTTAATCACTTAGTGAAGAAACCAACAATTTCCAATTTCTCCCCAGAAATAGTCTTTTTAAAAGACCAGACAAAATTGTAATGAAAATTTTATACCAATCTAAAATATATGCTTGAGACTTCCTATCAGGAATCGCTCTCATTATAATTACATTGAGAAACAAGAATAATTAGAGTGAAAGTTTTTGGAAAACAGTTATTCTGTAGAATACATTTTAGATCCAAAATAGGATTTCTATTATTTCACAGTTCAGTGGTCAAGTTTTACACAGTTCTGTGGTTAAGAAGGTGTTTGATATGCTGTTCTAAATAATCTTTTATTTCTCATTCTGTAGTACATATTATTTCCTATTTGTACATCTACAATTCAATGCCAAAAAGTTGGGTTTTTTTTCCTCTAGGTATGAGATTTCCATGTTAGTAAGTGCTGCCAATTTTCACCTTCTTTCATATTTATGAAAAAATTATAAAAACATGAAGAAAATTAACCAGCTATATTACCAGAACTAAGATTTGCTAATAATTCAATACATGCACAAATTTGCCTGTTAAGAGGGGTAGGGATGCTGAGATGTACAATGAAAATAGGTAGGACAGGAACTAATCAAATAACTATTCTCAGTGAATCTAATAAGATTATTCAAAAAGGACCAGATAAATAGTTGAACTAGATGATCTTTAAGGTCCCTTC